AGGAAGGCCCTCTATGAGGTGGACTGATTCAGTGACTGGGATAATTGGGATGGGAGTGTCAGAAACAGTGCGATTGGCACAGGACAGAGTGGAGTTTAGGGCTGTTGTACATAGGATCACTATGAGTCGCAGGCGATTCGACGGCACATAACAACAACAACAACATATACTTTTCCTCTCTTTAGGAGAAGGCAATGTTTTCCTATTTTCTACTATATTTTCCATGGTAGGTGGTAGTGGTTCAGAGATAAAATCTTTGCTTTCCACACAGGAAATTGCATCTCATATGCAGCTACAACCTATCTGCAGTGGAAGCTGGTATATTAGTATGATGCTGAACGGATTTCCTGACTAAGCTGAACTAGGAAGACAGCCAGGATGATCTATTTCCATAAATCACTCAATAAAAATTCTATGGATTACAACAAAAACTCTATGGATCACAATGCTATGGTTTGTTTAACCTTTAATCCTACCACTTTCTACAAACTGCCTACATCTGTCAAGCTGGTCACCTTCTGGCACTTTTATCATAGTTAATCTCACTCTTATATGTTAGTTTATGCTATTTTCCTCCCAATACCTTTATCCTTATGCTGTCATCCTTATTCATTGCCCAGCTCTCAGATGCACAAGTGATTGAAAAGACCATGGCCTGGATCAGATATACCTAACTCCTCAAACTGGTATCATTACTCCTCAATAATTCGGAGGGATCCCTAATTGCAGATTTTCCCAGTGCAATGTGTCTCCATATTTCCTGACTACTGGCCCCAAGGGTGTTAATTCAATAAATTAAATGAATTAACATTCTTATTCAATGAATAAAGTTGACATGAAAAATTGACTCCTTTGAGCTGTGGTGCTGGAAAAGGACAAAGAACAGCCCATGAATTGCCAAGAGAACAGACAGATATGTCTTGGAGAGGGTGCAGCATAACGCTCTTTGGAGGCAAGAATGATGGAGTTTTGCATCACATACTTTGGGCATGTTACTAGGAGGGGCTAATCCTTGGAGAAGGACATGATGCTGGGAAGGGTAGAGGATCAGTGAAGGAGAGAAAGATCCTCAACCAGGTGGATTGACACGGTGACTGCCACAACGGGTTCCTGTGAAAGTGTGAAGATGGTACAGATGTTCACAGGGTCTTATGAGTCGTACTTGACTTGATGGCACCTAACGACAATATACTATTACACTCTACCTTTATACAACTACACTTCCTAACTCAACTCAAATGTCATCTTTCCTGATGTATTAATTCTATCCCAGAATTCATAACTCACAAACATCTTTGTTTTATCCTAATTTTTTTGCACTGACTGTCTATACAATAAGATTACTAAGATACAGTATCAGTCTTAAAGGGTCATCCGGAAGCACCTGCTTTTAATACATATACTCATATTTAGTACATAATACAGCAGGAGTGTCATCCACTTCCTAAATAACAAGCCTGTTGAAACTCTCTGAACTCTGATAAATGATGACAGTTATAGAAAGACTTCAGGCCTTTTTGTTCATAGGGTCACTATGAGTCATGCTCTACTTGACAGCAATCAACAGCAGCAGCACATATAAAAACATCTGTCCTTGAACATCTGAAGAAATAATTACCTTAGAGTAACTGATAAATTCATTATGGGCTGAAATGCATTGTTGTTGTTGTTGTTATGTGCCGTCGAGTCGTTTGTGACTCATAGCGACCCTATGTACAACAGCCCTAAACTGTGCTCTATCCCATGCCACTCTCATTGCCTCTGACACACCCATCCCAATTACCCCAGTCAGTGAATCAATCGACCTCATAGAGGGTTTTCCCCTCCTGCGCTGTCCCTCCACTCTACCCAGCATGACGTCCCTCTCTAAAGACCTGTCTCTCCTTACAATATGTCCAAAGTATGTCAGGCGAAGCCCCAGAATCCTTGCCTCCAAGGAGCAGCCTGCTTTAACCTTCTCTACGATGAATCTGTTTGTTTTCTTGGCAGTCCATAGTACATTCAATACTCTTCTCCAGCACCACAGTTCAAAGGCGTCAATTCTCCTTCTATCCTCCCTAGTCACTGTCCAACACTCTGATGCATAACAAGTGATTGCAAAAACCATGGCCTGTATCAGGCGCACCTTAGTCTCCAGACAGACACCGTTGCTCTTGAGTACTTTAGAGAGGTCCCTAACAGCAGACTTGCCCATTGCAATACGTTTTTTGATTTCCTGGCTACTGGTGCCAAGAGTGTTGACCGTGGAGCCGAGCAAACTGAAGCTGTGAACACTCTCAATCTCTTCACCATCCATCCTGATGCTACCAATTGGTCCGGTGGTGAGAATTTTTGTCTTCTTGACATTGAGCCTCAGTCCATACTGAAGCCTGCAGTCCTTGACCCTCTGCAGTAAGTGCATGAGGTCCTCTTCAGTTTCAGCGAGCAAAGTTGTATCATCTGCATAACGCAGATTGTTGATAGATCGTCCACCAATCTGCTCTGCATACAGGTTGAAAAGGTATGGAGATAGGACACATCCCTGGCGTACACCCTTCCCAATTTTGAAAACCATGCAGTGTTGCCCTGCTCTGTTCTGATGACTGCCTCTTGGTCCAAGTATAGGTTTCGCATTAGCACGATTAAATGTTCTGGGATTTTCTGATATGCTTCATTACAGACACTTAGTATATTCCTTTTTTATACTACCATAATCTTTAAAATTAATTATATAAACTAAGGCTACTACTATGCAATTTTATATTTTTCTCTTTTAAATCTATTCTGTTTTTCATCAGTTTGAGTACAAACAGAGTTAACCTATGATAGAAAACCAATGATATGCATTATTCAAGAAAAAAAGTTTTACAGAAACAAATGCCATCAGTTTCTTTTTGCTGACAAACTGACACCTCTGAATGTACTGCACAGGTAGGGATTATGTCTAAGTAACTTTTATGGTTCCAGCACAAAGCCCAGCTCATAACTCAGTTTGTACTCAAACTGATGAAAAACAGAATAGATTTAAAAGAGAAAAATATAAAATTGCATAGTAGTAGCCTTAGTTTATATAATTAATTTTAAAGATTATGGTAGTATAAAAAAGGAATATACAAAGTGTCAGTAACTGAGCATATCAGAAATTAGGATCTTTTACGAAAAAAAAATCACAAAACTACAATAAGGAAGAATGAACCTGATAATTGTATTCTCATTATAATAAAAAACCTGACAACAGAAATCAGGTAAGTAGGAAATAAATACACAATAATGCATAGCAATGATCTCAATCACTTTGAAACATATGAGAGTGATAGCAAATATTCTGCTTTGTGGATAAAGCAAGAAAGATAATTGTGTTCAGAGAATAGTTTTATTAAAAAGATACATACAAAAAAAAAACAGAGCATTTATCTCTTTTATTGGAGGGGGGGAACTTGGTAGCAAAAATGTAATTTGGACTAAACATAACCCTTAAGACTATACTAAAGGACTCGGACAGAAGACTGATGAAAGCAAAAGCCAAGAGAAGACTGTTCACTGTGTATTTGCAGGTAAATTTCCAAAAAATCTTCACTGCCACAGTTGACCCATCAGTGAGTTTTTGCAAGGCATAAAATGCACAGGAGGAGACTGCCCAACTTCCTCCCTGGAGTAGCTGGTACATTCAAATGCCTACCCCTGGGATGGCATCTCGATTCCTTACCCCTAGGCCACCAGAGCTCCCTACTATGATGGTGGTGGTGGTGGTTGTCAGGTGCCCTCAAGCTGGAACCGACCTACAGCTGCCCTCCATCAGGTTTTCAGAGGCAGCAAATCACACCGGAGAAGACTGCTCATCTCTTTCCGGGAAAGCAGCTGGTGATTGACATTGGGTTGGCAGTGCAGCTCCTTACCACTAGGTCACCAGAGCTTCCCTAATACATAAGAAATATTTGCTAGATGTCTATTATGTTATAGTATCACACACTAGGTTACAGACTATTAACATAATGAAGAGAGCTCCAGATGCTCCTAAGGAAGGGAAAGGGACAGGGAAGAGTGTGAAACAAACAGAAGAGTACAGAACAAGGTGATAGGGAATGGAAATACACACACAACTGACAACAGATAACATGAGTTCTGGGAACCCTTTTAACAAAGCACAAAATCCTATGAAACACTTTATCCAGTTCTCCAGTTTGCCATTATGAAAATAAAGACTTGGAATTTAAATGAATGGCAGTCCCCCCTTCCTCCCCACACTTCCTATCATTGTGACAAATAGCTTTTGTCAAGTACTCCAAGTTATCAGAAAGAGACATAACCTGATAGTCACTAATAAAGCAAAAAGTGTGGCTAAGAATACCTAGAGAGTCTTCATCAATTGCTATAAACCCTAAACCACACTCTGGGAGAAAAAATGGTAGACTGGGAAGTGAAAGTTAAACTAATCAGTGAAACTGACAAAGCTAAACTGGAGAAACTGAGCACAGCTGCTGACTATGAAACAGCCAAATACAGAGAGAAGAGGGCCGGGTCCCTAACGGAGCAGACCTGTCAATGAGTGTGTCGTTCGTGAGCTGAAAAATAGCCGGGTCTTGTATGAAACGGCCGGTAGACGGAGCGCCAGTGACAACTAGTTGTAGTAGTTTGCGGGCAAGGAAGGAAAAGGACCTAGGTTAAAGAGAGTGTAAAACGTTCTGAGGATGGTTCTGCATGCACTGCAAATGAGACAACATGAAAGACTGATGTACACCAAAAAAACAGAGAATAATTTAGAGGGTATGGAGCTGAGAACCAAGACACGGTTCCAAAACTGGTGGCGGGAAGTTAGCGGGTGAGGAAGAGGCACTAAAGGGATGCCCTGAGTTTCATGGATAAGGGAAAGCAACGCAGAGTCAGGGGCCAAGAGGACACAAGGCTTCTGCACAGGAGTGGAGAACTGAAAACTCAAAGATGCTAAGATAGAGACCGGGAGGCTGAAGGTGTCACTCGTGACTTGCCAGATGCAACCCTCCCTCACCCAGCCCGGTACTTACAGAGCTCAGAGTACCGATGGCAGCCCCGTCCCAATTGCTGCAGATAGCGTTGCAGCACGTCCGTGAGAAGGTGGCAGGCGCTGAGTTGCACAGAGTCCCAGCCCAGCGCCTGGCAGATCTGCGCCACCGAGACCCTCAACAACGACCTGGAGTAACTCTCGCACATCCCGCTCCGTTGACTCCACTGCAGTCCTTGCTGCCACTTCTCTCCACCCCCACCGCCTAACCTTAGCAGAGCCCCCGATTCATCTTCCAGGGCCCCCGTGGCGGGGAAATCGTCCCCCCCGACCCCTGGCGACCACCTCAAAGCCCCAGCAACACGGAGCGCGCCAGCCTGAGAGTCGCCATTTTGGACTCGCTCCGCCTCCCGCTGGACTGTCGCCGGGACGAGGCAGCACTAAACAAATACTGAGCGCATCAATGAGAAAGCGCCCCGCCCATTTGAACAGATCGACTGTCATGGTATCAACTCTCAGGCCTAGAACTCTGCAGGAAGCGTTTGTAAAGAACTCTGGTAAGGTTGCACCCCAGAAATGCTGGATAATTGAAGCATCTCCTGTGGGGCTTTCACGTGGAGATAAAGGTAGCGGGAAACTGCGGTATTTTGTGGGTAGACAAAGGAGCTGGGATATGAAATTGAATTGGAGGTTTTCGAAAGAAGTGGGAATTCAAGACGCGCTAAGTGCAGGGGTGGGTTTAAGAAACTTAAACTGAAAACGCTGATCTGATCCAGTCTGGCAGTTTACCATGTTGTAGGTTAAAGTCCAAAGTATTCGGCATGCCATTCAAATCCCTTAATAAGACAACCAGGACTAAGTAAGGATAGTAAATAATTTAAACACTTTAATACAATATTTTAATCCAATCTAATGAAAGGAAACGGGGGGGAGGGGTGGACCATGACGAACAAAGTGTCAACATTTAAAGTAAACAAGAACCCACCCTCTATGAAAAGTGCAGGTCTGCCTCGCTCAGCTCACCCTAATCTCAGGCTTGGTTCCAATAATTTTAATACCCAAGAAACAGGCCTCTGCTGTTGTGATGTGCCCTCGAGTCATTTGCAACTAATAGCAGCCCTATGTTCAACAGTTCTAAAGCCTGGCTTATCCTGAGCCAGTCTCGCTGTCTCCGACACATTACCCCAGTTACTATTTCAATCTTTCTCATCCAGGGTCGTCCTCTCCTACAATGTCCTTCTCCAAAGACTGGTCCCTCCTGGCCACATCCCTAAAATGCATGTATGAGACCGAATTTCAAAATCCTTGCTTCCAAGGAGAAGCTTGGTGTTACCTTTTCACCTATTTATTCTCTTGACAGTCCATGGTATGTTCAATACTCTTTTTCAGCACCACAGTTCAAAGTCATCAATCCTTCTTCGATCATTCCTAGACATTATCCAACTTTATGATGCATAGAAGGTAATTGTGAAGACTGTGGTCTAGATTAGGCACATCTAGACAGACATCATTGTTCTTCAACCCTCTGGAGAGGTCCCTGACAGCAGATTTTCTTAATGCAATTTTGATTTCCTGACTGATGGTACCAAGAGTGTTGATTATGGAACCCAGCAAGCTGAAATTTTTCTCTTCTCTGCTAGTGGATCAAAATTGCTAATTTTCCCACTTCTCATCACTGGTCTAGGGGGCACTTTTATATAAAAATTTGTGCTGCCAACCAAAAGACAAAATGTTTGAATCCACCTGCTGCTTTACAGGAAAACACACAGTCTCCTCCTAAGCATTTACAGCCTCTAAAAATCAGTGGAAGGGTTTGAGTTTGTTCTCAGTGGAAGGTGATAAACACCAGCCACTGATCTACCTGTAGCTCAGATGTTGCCATGCTAACCAAAAGGCTAAGTACCCAGTGGTTCAAGCTGGTTATGGAGGGAGAGGGATGGGTAGTCTTTCCCCTCCACATGCACAACCCCCCTACCAAAAAAAAAATGCAGCACATTTCTGAGGAGTCAGACCAACTTATAACTCTGGCTAGTTGTCTAGCAGGTTTTTAGGACCTGTAAATCACAAGGGGGAGATTAGGCATCTTTCTCACATGGAGCAGTTAGTGGACTCAGATCGCCAGCCTTTGTGTTTTCAACACAACTCTAGTGATTAGAACAACAGATGTGCCAAATTCAACACCATGGCAGCTAGTTTGTTTCTTTCAGCCACTGATCTGTCAGGAGAACTGGAAACTGTAGCTTATTAGTCCATGGATTAACCCAGTGGCTGCAACAGTGGGTTTAGGGCCAGCTGAGATTGTGAGAATGGCTCAGGATCCAGGGAGGTTTTCATCAAGAGTAGGAGCCTTGGTGACTCCTGAACTTTTGACTAGCTGAATAGCAGTGGGCAGAGAAGGAACAAGTGGCTAGGTTACTTATACTTGCTCACTGACATTTTTGCCACCTCACCCCACCCCCCTGATCTTATTGGAGACTCTGATATTAAATCTTTAGGATGCATTTCAGTCTGAGTGTCCCTTGACCATTTTGTAGTCATTTGATAATGATGAACACTACCTGACATGGACTGAATTGTGTCCTCCAAAACTATTACCAGGAGTCCATGCTTCTCAGTGGGTGGCAGTTACATAATGATGAAATCATTTCTCATGATGTGATCAGCCCTGATCTGATGCAAGAGATTTGAGTGGGATACAGTACCTATAATCTTGTCATAGCTTTGACTCAGTGTAAGGGGAGTGTAGCCTGTATTAACTGTTTATTGTGCAAGAGTTAAGGGAGGAGACAAGCAGAGAGAAAAGAACCTACTACCACCAAAAAGAGAAGACCTAGTGGGGAAGTATGTAACTCCCCTCAGGCTGCTAAGTAAAAGGTTGGTGATTGCCACCAACCACTTCAGGAGAGAATGACAGGCAGTCTCCTCCAGTCTCAGACACCCAATGGAGGGTTGCTATGAATCTCGGACATCCAGTGGGGAGGGTTGCTATGAGTTGTGATGGACGTAAGGGCAGAGCAGTCAGTTGGGTTGTCAAGGGAAAGCTGAGAGCATGCTCTGGACCTAGTCCCTCCACTCAGAACTCCTGGGACCGGAAAGTCTGAGAAAGTCTTACTCTAGACCCTGAACTCTGAATTTTAACTTCTGTCTTCCTAAACGATAAGAAAATAAATTTCTGTGTGTTAAAGCCATCCATTTGTGATATTCTTGTTAAAGCAATACGAGACACTACCTTCAATTTGAAACCCTCTGGGACCATAAATTTCAAAGCTTTCTAACTTCTTAGTGTTCCTCCAATATTTTGAAAAGCTTATTTTAAATCTTTATACTAGGATTCTCCTCTTTTTCCTATTTTTTAACATTTCAGTATATATTTTGGAAATTTTCAAACTTTAAAAGAAATGCAGACAAAGGTGTACACTTCACGTAGATTCATGAAGAATAAACATTTTATTAGCATATGCGTAAATACACACACCCACCTAAAAATATTTATTTCATAAAGCAGTTTGAAACTAAGTTGCAAACTTGATAATTACTCCCTAAATACTCCAGCCTGTTGTTTGTTGTTAAGTACCATTGAGTATCTGACTCATGGTGACCCTATAAACAACAGGTCTGAATCCTGTACTGCCCTGTGCCAGTCTCATCATCTCTGGCACATTGGGCCCGTTGCCATAGACACTGTCAGTTCATCTTATTGAGGGTCTTCCTCTGTCACTGACCCTCCACCTTTCCCAGCATGATATCCCTTTCCAAGGAATGGCCTCTCCAAACAACAAGCCCAGCATATATGAGAAAGCTTCACCATCCTTTCCACCAAGGAGCACTCTGGTTTCACTTTCTCCAAAACATATCTGTTCTTTTCTCAGTCCATGGCACATTTGGCATTCTTCTCCAGCACTACAACGGAAGTTGTACTGGTTCCTCTATTTTTTTTTATCTCTTTTTTTAAAATTTTATTTTTTATTTTATACTGGTTTATTTACAAACTTCGAATACAGTTGTTTTTCTCACTGGATCTTTCCCATTTCCTTCACACAGCCCACCCATCTAATTGTATGACCCTGTGATTAACTTTCCTCCCGTTTTCCTTTTTTCAGTCTCAGATATGTTCAGATGCATGGTAGGTGATTGGAATGCCTATGGCTTGAATCATGCACTTAAATCTGACTTCATTGCTTTTCAGAACTTTGGAAAGGGCCCTGACAACAGATTTTCCCAATGTTATGCGTCTCCCAGTTTCCTAACTGCTGGTACGAGTGGTGTTGAATGTGGGTCCAAGCAAGATGAAATAATTGACAATTTCAGTCTTTTCTCCATCTATTGAGGGCTGCAGTTGATCCTGTATAAACTAGTGTCTTAAGTCCTGCTTGTTTTCAGTAAGGAAGGTTGGATCATCTGCATAACAAAGGTTGTTGATGAGTCTTCCTCTAATCCTGATGCCACATTACTCCTCATAGAGCCCAGCCTCACAGATGATCTGTTCCGCATGTAGATTGAAAAGGTGTGAAGTAATGTTACAACCCTAACACAAACCTTTCCCAATTCCAAATTATGCAGTGTTCCCTTTCTGTTTTCCTTAGTCTAGGTATATGTTTCATATAAGCATAATTAAGTGTTCTGTAATCTCCATTCTTCTCAGTGTTAGCCATAGTTTGTTATGATCCACACAGTCTAATGCCTTTACATAGTCAATAAAGCACAAATAGACATTATTTTGATTATGTTTTGCTTTCAGCCAAGATTCATATGACATCAGCAGTGATATCCCTGCTGCTATGGCCTTTTCTAAACCCAGCCTGAAACTGTCAACATACTATGCCAGCTGGTTTTATCTTCAATATTTTGTTTGTACATGATATTAATGATATTATTTGATAATTTCCACAATCCGTTGGATCACCTTTTTTTGGGAAAGAGAACAAATATGGATCTCATCCAGTCAATTGGCCAGATAGGTCTCTTCTTAATTTCCTGGTACAGACTGGTGAGTATATCCAGGACTGCATCTGTTAGTTGGAACATGTCATTTGGTATCCTGTCAATTCCTGGGGCCTTATTTTTTTTTCCCCAATTCTTTGTCCTGTCATATACCAGTCTCATGATCTGTGTCATACTCAAGCCCATAGTGATGCTTACTGTGTCAGTCCATCCTGTAGACTGTCTTCCTCTCTTTCTGACCTCGTTGTTGCTGTTGTTATGTGCCATCGAGTTGCCTGTGACTCATAGCAACCCTATGTACAACAGCCCTAAACCCTGCTCTGTCCTGTGCCCATTGCACTGTCACCCCAATTACCCCAGTCACTGAATCAATCCACCTCATAGAGGGCCTTCCCCTCCTGCGCTGTCCCTCCACCCTCCCAAGCATCATGTCCCTCTCCAAGGACCAGTCTCTCCTCACAACATGTCC